ACACTCCCCACCCAAGACTCTACCATCTGCGCCAGCCAATGAAACGCTTAAACCACCGGTTCGACTTCGGCTACCATTACTCTCTGACATTAGGAACGAGCCTGACAAAGATATTATCTCAAACCGGCCCTGCAAATTTATGACACCACCATTATTGGACACGCTTAAACAATAAACTCAAACATATAATAAAATTAAAACATCTCACAAACTTTGGTGCAAATTTAACTCGGTTTTGAACTCTGCCCGGCAAATTTAAGCATTATTTCTACACCTGCGATGATTATTGACCCCTAATATAGAATTCAACATTGAACCAATGAATGTTCAAGGCATCTAGGACGAAGAATTCGAACGTAATATCTTAAGGGCTAATTAAGCCTTTGGAAGCATTTTTCACCAACATCAATCACATATGTAATTCAAATTGATGCGTATCTATACCAAAAATGCAAATGAGAACAGTTATTGGCATAATGTTTCAGACAGCACAAAAAGGATTATCGAAAGGGATAAGAACCAAGGAAAAAAAAAGTTCATTAAAAATCCTGAGAAGTGAAGACTCCTCAACAAGGCCCGTACTTGTATCTGTACTTGTAATCTAGCTAATGAACAAAATATAAGACGGAATAAAAGGACAGGGACCTGGAGAAAACCACAGCACGAGACCCTTTTAATTTTCTTAAGAGCATCATCACTTGGTAAAAAACAACTTTCTAAATGTAACCCATTGGAGGATGCCACGTGCACTATCAAAGTTTCCTACTTAGCACATTAAAAACATAAAGGAATGCTAGCTAACAAATTACAATACTACCAGGATAAGCATTATGGAACAAGAATAGAGCAAATATAAATTGGTAAAAATAAAACTAGGCCCTATCGAATACAAGTTTACTGTTATAATAAACTTTCAAGTAATCAAGATTACCTGCTATTTCTGCGCAGATTAACCACATAAGGTAAACAGTGTACGACGGCAACAAATCTCAAGAGTTTTTTTTTGTAATTATGAATATCTGAGGAGTCTTGTGGTAATTCAACCTTAACTCGGGGGTTTTGGTAATTTACCCTTTAATTCCAGTCCAGTATACCAAAACCAATTATATTTCTTTTTCTGTATTACTTGAAACTCCAAATCTTTGTTCATCCATAATCACAAACTGAACAAATTGAATCAGGATTGTATTAGGTATTATAGGTACTATCAATTGTAGTTTAAGGTTTTAAGTACATTATCAGTGAGAAGAGCTAAACAATCTTCCAAATCCAGCTTATTTAACCAATATCTGGCCACAGTCTACACCCAGCTTATTTAACCAAAATCGTAAATCTTTTTCTTAAATATTAAGATTTTTTATTTTTTTTTCAACTATTATATTATATATATTACAAGCTTAAATGATATCCTATCATTTAAACAAATTATAAAGCATTATAACAAAAAATAAAAATATCTTATAGTGCAATTCTATTTATCTGTTTACGCTTGGAGATGAGCAGTATTTGGACACGGAAAAAGCGTTAATGAGAAGTTAGAAATGTATTATGGATTTATGATAGTATGAATATTTATCATGTAGTGTTCTTTATATTTAAAATATTTTTTTTCTCATCAAAATTATCTTCAAATGTATTACACTCTCTTGAATCGTAAAATCATGCTTGTACAAATATATCTCAATACTTTTAAGATTTACTACTTCAATAGAACTTTTTTTACATTTAAAATTTATTTACAGATTTGAAACGATGAGTGTAAATCGAATCGAATGATAAGATTCTAACAACATGGTCCAATAGTGTTTCCTAATCCTACCGAAGGCATGCATCGTGAAACTAAATCAGTAAAAACAACTTTACTACTGAAACTATTGTAGACGCTCAGATTTTCCTTTCCAGTAAAAACCCAACCAACAACAGTAATAAAACTTTTCAGATGTAACAAAATGCCAGATTTCTCGAAAACAGCAACTCTGGGAACTAAATCAAATTATCTAAATACAAAACAAAAATGCACTTTCTCGATTTATCTTCATAAATCAGTCTAAAATTTTATAGACGAAGATAAATCAAATTGACTTTTTAAGCTCCTTGCCAGATGTGACGACATCCAGTCATCATTTTCATGTAGCTATAGCATTTTTAATTTAAACCAATAGAGAGTGAGTGAAATAAACTCTTTAACAGATTACATGGAAACATCGCCTCCACGATATGTAAAATCTAAGCTTCACAAAGTATATGAAGGAGTCGATGTTATACTTACCTTTATGTATTCATTGATAACGAGCGAAGAAATATGAATACGAGAATTATCTACCACATTTAGCAGATATTTAGATCTTACTTTATAGATATAGGTATTCCAGATATAAGAACAATACTGCTTCATCAAATGTAAGGTAAATATATATATGATAACAGCACAAACCTCATATGTAACTGTGCCACCGGACATTGCAGGTTGACGAAGGGTAACATTACAGATAGCACCATAAGCAGATAGAATGCAAACTGTGCGTGGTCCTTGCTGTGAGAATGCCATTATTTTCGACGCTATATCCTACAAAACAAACACATTCTCAGCCTTTCTTTCATTGCAAAAACTGGTCTATATTGATAACTTTGATATGCTTTAGGAAACCTCGGTAAAGAACGGAGATAAACGTAAGGTTAATGTTAAATTTGGTAGTACAGATAATTACTGAGACTAAGTACCTACCTTTAATACATGAGTACAAGAAAAATAAAGACAGTTAATACATCCGTACCATTTGGTTTCTCTTTAGCCAAAAAAGAAAAAACAAATCACGTATTAGTTGTTATTTGAGGAGTCCAACACATAATTAATCCTATTTTTACAATTTACTATTAATTGTAGAGAGAGAAGATGACCATGAAATTAACGAGAGGATTGCCGTACCAATTAATGCTGAGATTATACGTACAAAGGGTAATGTTTGCTTTTCTTGTCAAAATGGAAGCTATTTAATGAGTTTCTTAATCTATGGCCTAAACCTTAAACGACTAACAAAAAATTGGAGGGAGTAATAGGTAATCTTATATATAAGCCTAAAGTACCTAACCCTCATAGTAACAAGAAGTATTATCAATGTTAACGTTTCTGAAAGGCGGATAAAAATCATCTGCTCTTCATTCTTACATTACATTGAGTTTGACTGGTGTTCAGCATAAATGAACAACGCCAGCTTCATCTTGCACATTTCAATATAAGGCTCATTTTTTTCTGAAGTATAACTTCTTTACCTAAACTATACTCACTTAAAAGTAATTATGCGCCAGAACAAAGCTGAAGGGAAGAGAGCAGCTTAAAGATGCCCACACTTTCACTTTCTAATTCGTCTAAAAATTGTTCACCTAGTCGAGTGGGCGCCCAAATATTGCAACATAAGGAATACTACATCTAGATTTTCAGAAACTAATTAACAAGTACAAATTTGAGTCATCGGAGGCATTTTTTTTGTCAAAATAAAATAGAGATTTTCAACCTTTCAGAATACTACAATTGTTCTTTCAGACACAAGATTAACGAATTCTACATATTTGATGGGAATCATTCGTCAAACCGAAAAGACTCGACTTTTATCATAAGATTGTAGGAATAATATACAGGCTTTGATAAACTTTTATGTTCACAATTGGCCCGATCATTCCACTGTTCTTCACAGTGATGCTTCCTTTTCATCCAATCATAAAATATATCTTGGGGTTTGGCAAGAAGTACAACTAATATTTCCTGTCGCGGGCAACTCCTAGCTTGAGCGCTAACATTTTAATGATAATAACACAAAAGTTTGAGCTTTATATTCAAAAGCATACTTGGATATGACCTTCTTTATGCTCTTGTTTTCAGTGTACTTGTCCAAGTCATGGTGCAGGCAGAAGTGTCAAAGAAGTTTAAGGTTTGCTTAAGTATATCAATGTGCGAAAATCTGTACATAGTTTAGGGATTACGAGGTTATATATAGTATATTATACGTGGCGTATTGCATCTACGCATTAAACTGATGAGCAGATCCTAAATACTAGAGAGTTAAGTCATAAATGAAGTCAGTGAGAAATCGAACATTAAATATGGCATCAGAGCACTCAATAGCCTTGGAGAAAACCAGTAATCACATATCTACTTAACTATACCCTATCCTATACCGAAATACGATACTGCTGCACAGGTCTATTTAACTCAATAAGCGCCCACATTACAAACAGAGATAGCAATAGAAATACCCGTTTTTTTCACCTAGAAACGTTGTTTACCAAATTGGAGAATTTCAGTAGTAAACGTGTAAGATATTCACCTGAGAAATTTTATTGCAATGCTAACACAATAAGGATAAACGGAAAGATTAATTACCCTTACGTGACATACTATCTTTTCAAATACACTAACATATGACGTGGATAAGGTTAGAGATTTCATTGTCCAAACTAAGAAAAGCATTAAATCCTAGGTTCATGGTCTTCTAAGGCTTCGATTTCTACCTTTAACATTATTTCTTCATTCACCACCATATGTAAGATAACATAAACAGAAAAGGCAAGATAAAATCTTTTCTACATATAGAAAATGAGAAGACATACGTCATCTTAATCCACGCAGTTACGAAAAACTATTAGCAAATAACATGAATTTAATTCAGATAACTATGTTTTATCAAACAAACTAGCAACCTGCTCAACTGGGAGGCACCAGATTATACACGTCGCTACCCAATATTTAATAAACAGACAATAAATCTAATTACTCTTAACGCACGACCTAAAAAACTTCAAACATCATCTTAAAGTTATTCATCACTGATAATTAATGTTAAATTTAAAGTCATCATAGAATTTCCAGCCGAAATAACCAAGGAGGATCTAAGAGATAAATACCAAACGAAGTGCTTTGATAATCACTTTGCCGTTGTGCTTACATATAACTTACCGAAATCACTGACAAAAATCAAGCAAATTGGAATAAAACATATTCAAAAAACTGAAACTTTTTAGTTTGTTTACCTCTCCTGATTCTACTGTAATTACATGAGGGGTAAAACCAACTCCCGGCACCCCTGCCCATCGGAAAGAGTTAAGTCAGGATCACCACCATAGAGAAATGTACATATTGACAAGCACAGTAAATCATCAAAGAGGGTAAATAGAAACATAACCTAGAGCATCCAACTGCTTTTTCACAGAACCGGGCGGCCTGCCTCTGTTGCGTTTGGCGGAGGTTTCAGAAGACGGTGTCCCACCACCACCGCCTCCACCGCCGCCACCGGAATCGGCGTGGCCGCCGCCGCCAGCAGAGGTAATCTGGTTGACTGGGGCGGGGGAAAGACCTAGGCCTATGCTGTTATCAGGGGAGTATTTTCTGGGCCGGCCCCTCTTCTTCCTAGCCGGCTCAATGTTGAACCAACCACCACCGCTGCCCGAGGGCGACCCATCGGAATACTGGTGATCCAACGGTTTTTGCGAGGCGGCGGCGGCAGCGGCAGCGGCAGCGGCGGCGGCCATGGAGTTGAAGGGGAAGCGGGCGTTCTGCTGCTGTTGGTGCATCATGGCGGGGTTAGAGGCGGCGGAGGTGGTGGTGTTGGC